AGGTTAATTTTGGGAGGAGGTTCTCAGCTTGGTACCACCTCTACCCTCCAGAGCCCCCTAATTCCCAGGCAAGACTGGCCCCAGGTGTCTTTCTGCTGTCTGAGCCCGGGTGGGTAACGGCACGTGCTGCTTATGCTTCCATGGGTGCTGGGTTAGGCTCTGCTGCACTGCAGCCTCCCTTATGACCACAGTCTAGGAATAGTCCTGTCAATTGTTACCAGTCTGACAGCCGGTGTTAGACCCGGAAAAACTTCTACAGATTCTCAGAAGTCTCATACTCCCCAAACCCACTCATTTGTAAGGTGGTGGGGAGGGTCTATTTGAATATTGGCTGTTAGGTGCTGATGAAACTAGTCATGGGCAAGAGGTCATTTTCCTTATGTTTACAGCAATCATACATGTGAAAACAAATGCAAAACTGCAAATGGTATTCTGACGGGTTAGGGCAAATGTCATCTGCTGCCCTCAGGGACTGCAAAATGGACACAAGGTATCTGATACAGCTAGTAACAAACTGGTTTTGGTAATGGTTATTAAGGTGGAAGATCCTCATGTACATGATCCCCCCCAAGGCAGTAGGACCTCTTGCACGATTAAATCCTCTTTCCCCTGAACGAGGATTTCATAATAGAAAAATCCTCTTAAGTAAGAAATGTCATGTGAATGTGGTTTTTACTCTGAACTGCCAGGTGAATACACAACTCCCACCCATCTCCTGGACTTCTGAGGAAAACCAAACCACTGAAGTGTTCTTTTGCTCATGATGGTCAGCTCTTTCAATGCGTACTGACTTTACTGCTGAGCGTTAAAACAATTTCTTTCGCTGGAGTGTTAGCAGATTAGTATCATGTGAAAGCCAGTGGGTGAAAAACTCAGAAATATGTGGAAAAACTTACATAGTGACAGCAAAAATTTCAGTGAGAATCAGTAGAAGTATTAAATCACTGCCTTTTCCTGAGCTGCTTTTATGCAATGCCCAAGGAGCTGGGTTTGTGCTTTGCAAAGCGCTGGGCTAGCACCTGCTCCGAGGTCCCCAGCTGCAGGACATTAACAGCCCTTATGCATATCCAGCCTCCTCACAGCTTATTCCCTTTCCTGATGCTTGGTGTGTGGTGGGGTCTTTGTTTTTTTAGTTTGAATTAGTTTCTTATTCCTCGTTAAGAGACATGTTTTTGTTTAGCTACCGGCTTTGTTATGTATTGCTGGTTACTGAAATTCCTGCAGTATGCCCCTATCTTTCCCAGTGTAGAACACCTCTTTTGTACACAGCTTTTATCTTTTGACAAAAGGAAATCTCCAGTCCCGTACTTTGAAGGAGCAACGGAGCAAAAGAATTTCTCCAAGTCACTTGAAAGGGCAAAGACAAAATTTTTCCATTATGATAGTTCAGTGTTTCCTGAGAGCAGACTTCAAATGTGTAGTTGCTGGCTTTCAGTAATTGTGAGAAAACAAAAATATAGCTAAAAACCCAAAAAGGATGGAGGAAATCAGTTGAAAAAACCAGGTGCCAACATGGGGAGTACTCCCTGCAGAGGCACACTCGCAAACTGCCCACCTAGAAACAAACGCTCAGTGACGCTGCCCTGGAAAAGCTTTTCTACTGGAAAAGCCCATTTTAGTGGTGATTTTTTTGTACTGGTTCTTGGACGTTCAGGCTGCTTTTTTTAGACCAGGTGTCCCCCCCCAGAATCTTCTGACTGGGTGATATGAAGGTACCTTACAGTATCTTTATAATATGGTACTGCACAGGAGTAACAACTCGCTCTGCTCCCACTTCTGATGGAAATCCTGATAGTTTTGGTTCAGTCAGGCAGCAGGAGGAGAATATTCGTCTGAATTCCCAGAAGTTTCACTGAACTGAACACCTATTTCCTACACTCACATTTCAACCTGTTGTGAAAGAACGTGGGCATATATTGAGAATAGGTAATTAGTGATATGAAGGTACCTTACAGTATCTTTATAATATGGTACTGCACAGGAGTAACAACTCGCTCTGCTCCCACTTCTGATGGAAATCCTGATAGTTTTGGTTCAGTCAGGCAGCAGGAGGAGAATATTCGTCTGAATTCCCAGAAGTTTCACTGAACTGAACACCTATTTCCTACACTCACATTTCAACCTGTTGTGAAAGAACGTGGGCATATATTGAGAATAGGTAATTAGATTAATCACTGCAGTCCTGTAATGGGGTTCTTGAGCAAAGTCTGCCACTTGGTTTTGCAAGTGCTTCCCTTGAGCCTGCCCAGGTGTGAAAAGGTTACCTGTAGTCCCATGACAAACTGGATTTATAACTCATAGTTAATTTGAAGCAATATCTGATCTTTTCTTCTACATTAAAAAAAGCTTACAATAATTATAAATAAGAAAAATCTCTGGAGGAAGGGTTGTCAAGCACAGGAAGATGTTGCCCCAAGAGGTGGTGGAGTCTCCATCGATGGAGACATTCAAAACCTGCCGGGACATGATCCTGGGCAACCTGCTGTGAGCATGGGCTGGACTGGAGCTCTCAACAGGTCTCTGCCAGCCTCAGCCCTTTTCTGTTTCTGTCATTAACTGGACTCAGCCAAAGCGTATTTGCTTATGTCATCTGCGAGTTGTAGGTTCCAAATCTGTAATGTAACCTCTAACAGTCTCTGCACGCATCACCGTAACCTCCGCTTTTTCTAATTTAAACTGAATGCTCATGCATTCTCTTCAGCTTCTTTCCTTCTGAAGGCAGAACAAAATGTGGCCTTACCATATGTGTTTTTAAAAATACAGGAGTGCATATGCTCTTGTATCCCCTTTCGAGGCTTGTGATTGGAACGGCGTCACCCAATACAGGACACTGAAGGGTCGATATCAATATGTTTTGCTCCAAAGTCATTCCTAGTCCTCACTCGCTGCTGCCTCTGTTAGTATCTTATTTAAAAAACCAGACGCACAACCCAGAAGTGGCAGGAGTGATTTCTACCTGACATGTTAGAAGTTTTCGTAGTGCCCACCCCAAACCAGATCCTTCTCTGGGACAAAGCCCACCTTTCCTAACCCCTCTGAGGAGTGAAGGTCACCGCTGTCGTCAGATGGCAGCATCTTGGGGCTGACTATTGTGCCCCAAAGCTGAGAGAACCAGTTCAGGTGCAGCACTTGAAATGCCACGCTGACGTTCTAGCTGTTTCTGTTTGTGTCTTGTGGGACTGGCAGATTCCGGGTTAACTCACTAACTGCCACATACAGTCGCAGGCACCAGATCTGCTCTCGGCACGGTTCTTAGCATCCCGAGTTCGTCTTGCAGCCGGAATTACTGTAGGCGTGTTACACAAGTGCTGTGAGTTACGCGCCCTCTTCACCCCCCTGACCGTACGTTCCCTGCTCCAACCAGCAGCAGGCTCACCACAGCCCGGGGCTGGTTTATTGTCACCAACCTTCGTGTGAAGTGTTAGACGGGCACGCCTCTGCTACAGAAGCAAGTTGTGTCCAGGTCTGGCCAAGAAAACAAAGACTTGGGAGGTCAGAGGTGTGAGAGATGACGGGCAAGGACTTCAGGAAAAGAAATCCGTCACTAATGGAGAACAAGACTTCAGTAACAGGAGCTGAATCTTGTGCTGTAACGCTGGCGAACCGCTGCCCCTTTGAGTGGAGGCTGCAGACCTGCGATGCTCCTGTGCTCGCAAGGCGCGCTTTGTTGTGCTGAATTTAGCTGATGTTGATGCCAGAAAAAAGTCTCAAAATCTCAAAAGTTGTTGCAAAATATCCAGGTCTGTGCTATTTGGACCAAAAAAGCCCCAACAAACCAACCAAACCCAAGACCTGCTGTGCAAGGGGGTAGCAAGGAGCAGAGCGGGTTAGAAGAAAGGCTCCAGCTCCTGTTTACTTACCTGTGTGTGAATGGTGTGTCCCAAGCGTGAGCTCTCCCCGGTGGGAGCTGGATGCATCTGTACTGCTGACTGTTAATACCCCGAGCTCTGACTAACCACTGCGGTCCCCAAGAATTCTCTCTCGCAACACTGCTGAATGACCTGCATATTCCTGGGATACCCAGATTAGTCTGCAGAATAGTTAGCAGCAGCCCTCTAGAACAGGAGTAGGGGGGTCTCTGTCACAGCACTGGGCTGTGTTGGGGGGCAGAGAGGGCTGAGCTAACCCTAACTGCTAGCGACTGGGCAGAGTTCCGATACACCTCATCAGTTCAATCAGAAATGTATGACCGGCCGTTAGTGTTCCCGCTGTCTGTCACGCGGTGCTCACTGTCTGTCAGGTATTCACAACCCCGGTCTTCAGAATACTTCTGTGCCTCTTTGAGCCTTCAGGAGTAAAGCTGCAGTAGTTGTGCCTTCATCAGGGAAGTCTGTACTGCCTGATAGAAACTGAAATTCCACAGAATAACATAAAAACACTTAATGTGGAGCTTCAGCCCTGAGGCCCTAAGGTACCCTGAGGTGTGGGCAGGGGGCCCAGTGCAGCCGCTGCCCAGATTCCAGCGGCTGTGGCCATCCAGCATTAATCTCTTCAGGGCTGCCCTCCCAAGAAGCCAAGTGGGGTGGGATTTCCCCCCTGCCCCCCCACCCCCTGTGCTCCCAGCAGCAGCATCACTCCCCCCTCATCGTGCACTGAAGGAAAGCTGTGCTTTTGCAGTGCTAAGGCTCAGGGAGGGATCCCTGCAAAAGCTTCATCTCTCCCGCAGAGCGGGGTGATGTGAGGGATATTCCCAGGCTCTGCTGGCTGCTGCGGGACAGCCCCTGGGGCTTGTCAGGGAGGAAGGCTCACCTGCAGCAGGAGGGAGGCAGGAGACGGGGGGCTGAGGCTGCTCCAGGAGATCATCTTGCCGGTCCCTGTTCCTACAGACACTGCACGGCACTTGGAGCACAACTTTGTTTCCTGGACTGGAAAGCAGGAGCATGGAGAGTTTGCTCACACTTCTGTTGGAGACAGCAAGTTTCTCCTTTTAATCCTGAGGATTGTTTACAGATTAGAAACTCCAGTATTATATCGTGTTATTTTTCACTCGTGGGAGAGAAATGGATGCATTCGGAGCACCTGAAAATGAGTCGCTGTCGCCCAGTTCCTCTGGTCCTGCCCTATGGGATCCCTTCCGCCGTCCCCTGGACTCCATCCAGCCCTGGCACTTCAGGCTCCTGGCAGCCGTGATGCTGGTGGTGACCTCCCTGTCGCTGGCTGAGAACCTGGCTGTAATCCTGGTAACCGTTAAGTTCCGGCAGCTGAGACAACCTGTCAACTATGTGATAGTCAATTTGTCTGTGGCTGATTTCCTGGTCTCGCTGACTGGTGGCACCATCAGCTTCTTAACGAATCTAAAAGGTTATTTCTATATGGGATACTGGGCTTGTGTCCTGGAAGGATTTGCTGTCACATTTTTTGGTAAGCTTGATTTTGTTTGTAGTTGTACGTTCTTTTCCTTCAGCTTCCTTCAGTCTATCCTGTCCCTGTGTATCAGTGGGCCCTTGCATGTATGCTGATCGTTGAACATCGTTAAAACAGTGGGGAAAAGCTTGCTAGAGGAGTATCAGCGTTGTGGACTTTGTGGTGAAGCAGTCAGAAAAAAATCCACTGTGTAACTGGTTTTGAGGTTTGTGTTTAGGTGGGTGCATATATGGACAATAAGAGAGAAGAGTGAGGGGCTGCTCTGAAATTGTGAAAAATATCAGATATTTTTCCAATATTTTTCCAATATTGCTATATCAATAGTGCAAACACACCCCATGTTAGCTACATCTTTTGGGGATTCTTCTTCTTGGCTTTGTTTCACTAACTACACAAGAAGTACGAGAAGCACTCCAGAAGGGCAGATCCTCACCACAGAGTTCCCTGTGCAAATACAGCCCTGCAGGGTCAGTGGGAAGTTAGTTTAAAACAGGACACAGAGGTAGCCGTTCCTGCCTCCCTCCTCCTGCTCTGAACCGGCACAGCGCAGGTGGCTTTCTCGCTCTGCCGCTGCTCCCATCCCAGACACCGCCGACCCCGTCCTCAGGAGGAGTCTGGCAGCTGCTCTCAGCCCGTTTACCCTACGCAGGGAACGTCGGGGAGGGACAATGCTACGAAATCAGCTTGTGGCATGTAAGCCCCGTCCCACGGAGAGATCAGGCTATTTCAGGAGTTTGGTGGCCAACTGGGTGATTTGTGTCTAATAAACTGACAATTTGACTTTGTGGGCAGCTGTCTGTTGGAGTTTTATGACAGTCTGAACTATGCCATTTCTCGCAAAGATGGGGTTTTGAAGATACATCTTTGTTCATTTGGAAGCTCTGCATAATTTGCAGCTTTCCGGAATGGAACCCAATGAAGAAAGGAAGACCCCGTCGGTTAAAGGGCTTGCTGAGCCGCTTGGCTTCATAGTCACTGTACTGCAGGCTGACAAGCTAGACAAACACGGAAATCCTGTGCTCTTCATAAATATTAGAATAATGCACATAAACCGGATCTCCTTTCAGAGCTTGGGTTGGTGGAAAAGGTGCCTGATGTGGTGGGTGGTCGAACACTGGAACCAGTTGCCCAGAGGGGTTGTGGAGTCTCCGTCTGTGGATATACTCAAAACCTCACTGGACTTGGTACTGGACATCCTGGACCATGCCCGAGGGTGTGTGGGACCGGATGCCCCCCCGAGATGCCTTGCAACCTAAACAAGCCTGTGATTCTGTAACGTGGGACGGTGTTGGGCTTTTCAGCAGATCGGCCCCATTTCTGATGCTGTGTTTTCTTGCTATAGGCATTGTTGCTCTCTGGTCTCTCGCTCTCTTGGCTTTGGAGCGGTACATCGTGATCTGCCGCCCGCTGGGGAACGTGCGCTTGAGGGGGAAGCACGCAGCCCTGGGTATTGCCTTCGTGTGGACCTTTTCCTTTGTTTGGACCGTTCCACCAACAATGGGTTGGAGCAGTTACACCACCAGTAAGATTGGAACTACCTGTGAGCCCAACTGGTAAGGCCACCCTTGCAGAGTACAGAAGAGAAATGAAATGCAGCTCAGGACGTCTCGGGGCAGGAATTTTGAGGACAGGTTAAAGATGATGTATGTGTCTGCAGAAACAGATGTAAAGAAAGCTGCAACAAAGCTGAGAAAAATCTCCCAAGAATAGATTCTAAAAAATATTCTCTAAAGGGCGTAGCTTCCATATCTAATGAGATCTGTGCTGTGCCTTGTGCTTTTTGTTGTGATTCAGAGGACAGACTGGCTAAAGCCCTGAGCAACCTGGTCTGACGCCGTCGCTGACTCCCCTTGGAGAGCAGCAGGTTGGCCCATGGCCCTTCCCACAGTTCCCTGACACGGTGCCTGTGGGAGATAGCCCAGGGCTCCCACTGGTACCCAGAGCTGTACAGGGGCACTTTGAATAAAAACAGTTGACAAAAATGCTAGTGACAGCTTGGAAGAACAAAATTAATACTTCAGGAACATAATAAGAATGCATATTAGTGATCCACACACAACGTACTCTGTGTTTTACGCAGGTACTCTGAAGCTTATATCGACCACACGTACATTATCGCCTTCTTCACCACCTGTTTCATAGTGCCCTTATCGGTGATCCTGGTGTCCTACGGGAAACTGATGCAGAAGCTAAGAAAGGTAAGAAGAAACACTTCGAAGTAACCTTCTAATGTGTGTGTGCATGCAAGCATTGGGAATTCCTGGGTTTGATTTTCTATGAAGATCAGACATAGGCAGATCAAATTTCCAGGCAGCAAACGCACTCGGTCGTCATCCTTTGTTACGTAATTCTCCCTACACACAGGAAGCCGTGCTGTGCTTGGAAATGACATTGCAAAGAGCGTAGTTTGCATCGCTGCGTGCATCTCGTTAGCCAGGCATCACGCAGACGACAGTGTCTGCTCCAGCAATAAAGAACTGGATGACCCAGCGCTGGTTCGTTTATGACTGTACTTCAGTTCAGGGATGTTTCTTAAGGCTCAAGCCAGGTAAATCAGAATTTAGCTTAAAATGACAGCATTTGGGAATTTAAAAAGTGCTGACTAATACTCTGTAGCACTTACAGGCAGCACGAGACATAGCGTTTGTAAATAATGCTGTGCTGTTTAGGAAATAAAACATCAGCCTGTCCAGGAACGTTCAAGAGATTTGAGAAATGCTTCTGATTTTTATGTAATGATTATGTTGACCTAATCCAAAAGAGAACCTGCAAAAAGGGAAAAGGCAGAAGACAATAGAGTAGGAAAATTCCCATTTGGGACAGGATTCTGGGACAAAAAGCTGCAAAGCTGCCTCGTCTTACTGCTTCAGTAATAAATGCAGTGAATTTCTTCAATTTATTGATGTTTTTAAAGTATTTGGGAAAATCAAATGCTTGTTATTTACTCACAGCAGCCAGGGCACGGTCCACCTTGCTGGTTGGGCCACGTCAGGGTGGGCACTGGGAGGCTGACCTGTGCCACATAGTGGGGTCTGGAGTCCTGTGCCGTGACCTCGCTTCACTGAGAAAAACCTTGGTGTCTTTCTCACCCCTCTCCCCATTATCCAGAAAAAATAGCAGGAATATTAAAGAAGTCCCACTTCTCAGTACATTGTGTTTCACAGCTCGGTGACCCACAGACATGGCCAAGAAATGCTGGGGCAGCCTCAGGGCGCCCATCACAAGTGATTTAGGGTGCTGGTCCTGTGGCTTCTGTTGGCTTTGACAGAGAGATGTAACCCTCCGAGTTGGCCTCTGTCACCTACAACAGCTTTAACCAGAGTCTGGTGTGGAAAACCCACCTGCCCGTGATGCATTCTGTAGATTCACAGTGAATTGCCAGGAGGTTGTATCTCGCATCTAAGCTAGTTTTAAAAAATCTGACTATGGCGAACAGAGAGACACCCAGGCACCAGAACTGCTCTTCATGTTCCCAACCAACGCAGTTTTTCCCTGCCATGTCCCATGGTTGCCACGGTGCGGGCTTTGTCTGGAGTGGCATTGGTTAGTAAAGCTGCTGGTGTCAGTCCCTGTGCCCGCAGCTTTATGACGGTACGTTTCCCAACAGCAGCTTTCACCACGACTGCAAAGCTGATGTAGAAAGGAATCCCTAGGAAAAGCTCCCATCAGCAGTTTACCCTTGGAATGGAACAGCAGTGTTCCACTGTAAGATAAGGAGCTGTGTGCTAGTGCTTTATCAGTTTTGTGCCCTCAGATTTAGGGAGGAAGGAATCTACTGCCATCCATGAAAAGCCACGGCTGAGAGAAAGGCCAGGCTGACAGGAGGCAAAGCCAAAACTGCCCCCAGCACGAGCCGGTTTTGTTCCATGCCGTCAGGTGAGCTGCTGCAGCTCCTGTGGGCAGCCGCAGGGCTGGGGGCTTCCCGGACGGTCGGCCAAAGCCGTCACCCCTGAGGCTGTGCTGGGCAGAGGCTGGCTGGGGAGACCAGCCCCATGGTAAGGCATGGGAGCAGGATGGGGGACAGGCTCAGCCTCCTTCCCTGGGCCTAGTCCCCTCTGCTGATGCCGACTGCAGCAGCCATGAGCCCGTCTTTCCACATTTCTGGCAGAAAAAGCTGTGGTCCAAGGCAAGAGCTTTGCCTTAAAGCCAGCCCTGGCAGTGGCTGGAGTGAGGGCTTGGAATAGCTGTGAAGTGGCTGAGATTCCGTGAGGCCAACGCTGTGTGTGGCCCAAGCAGTGCCGGAGGCAGTTTGTACGTGGGCTGAAGGCGGCTGGTGCGAAGGAGTGTTTGCCGTGTTACGGAATTGTGCTTTTCACGACACTGCGCTGTACATGACCTGGTTTGTCAGGCCGGCAGCAAATGCATTGCACAAGCCCAGGGAAGGGGAAGAGAGGGATATTGCTCCTCTCTAGCTGGTTCTCCCGCAAGCCCAGCTGTCTGGCTTTAGTGGTTTTGTGCAGATCCAGGGCTGCTGTAAGCTGGGGTAGCTCTGCTGAACTGAGTGATGTATCACCCAAAAGTGCACCCCTAATTTCTCTTTAGTATTTTGAGAGGTAACTTACTGCTATCGGCCACTGCTAGTCGCTCATTCCATCAGGGTCACTGTATTCTGGTGGTTGGCATTCTAAACAGAGGCCAGGTCTTGTCTCCGATTTGAACAAATCCTTAGGGTTACTATTCTCACAGGTGGAATTCCAAAGGCACTGCCTTGGGTGGGCTGCTGCGGCACCCATGAGGGTAGGTGAGACAGGTTAACTCTCGTGAGGTTGGACAGCCAAGCTGTGCCGTGGCTTTGCTCCTTGGACTTGGCTGAAGCCAGCTTGGGAGCGACTATGAGCTGCAGCCCTGCCTGCCCTTAGGTCCCTACGGAGACTGCCCCCATAATTGCTTTTTGCTCTCACTTTGACAACGAAAATGTAAAGATACTTAACAGAGGAAAATTCAGTAGTGACAGTGTGCAGGAACTCACGAGCCTCTGCAGCCACACGGACACGCTGTGCTCTCAGTGCATCCTCGCGAGCTGCCGAGAGCGGCAGGGCTTTCGTGCCGGCATGGCAGGCTATTCGCCTGCTCACTGAACTTGCTGCCCGGAGGCCTCGTTGTTGGTTTTCTGGCACCTTCTATCCTCTCTTTAAAGGTGTCAGATACGCAAGGCAGGCTGGGAACTACCAGGAAACCGGAGAGACAAGTGACTAGAATGGTGGTTGTCATGATCGTTGCCTTTCTGATCTGCTGGATGCCGTACGCCGCCTTTTCTATCCTGGTCACTGCCCGCCCCTCCATCGAGCTGGATCCTCGCCTGGCAGCTGTGCCAGCTTTCTTTTCCAAAACAGCCACTGTGTATAACCCAATTATTTACGCCTTTATGAACAAACAGGTACTGTATGCTCTCAAAGTGTCTTTGACGCTCGTATTTTGTTACTGTCTTGCTTTGCAGTGAATTATTTCTACCTACATGCGAGAGAGTGAACCAGTGCCTGGAGCTGACAAACTGAAAACGGCTGTGTATCTGCCCACGGGAAGGCAGGATGAGCCTCTGTGCATCACTAAATGTCAATCATTATTAGCTTTACATATTAGAAAGGCAAATCAGTCCCTAGTGAACACCAGTTTTCTGTATGAAAAGTCTATTTGCAAGACTGCCCCAGTGCGTTTTTCTGGTTCTTTAGGAAGGCAGCAGCAGTCTGGCGATGGTGAGGTGAAAGTGTCCAGTAGCTTGACTTTGTGTCAGGGGAAATGTTGCTTTTGTGGCTGCACGTGCAGGGAGGCAGGAGCGTTGTGCGTGCCTGTGGGACAGGCAGCTTCCATCTCCGGAACGGGGACAGCATTCAAGCAGAGACCTGAGGACGGGATGAAGCAGCGTGATGCATTCACCGTGGTAACAGGCATGACAAACTCGAGTAGACTCAGGCAACGAATGTAGCTAGTGAGAGGGGTGGCATCAAGCAGAGAGCAAGGTGTAAGTGAAGAGAAGGAAGAGCAGCCTGCTGAATGTATTTGTTGATCCAGTCCTGCAGCGAGAGCTGTGGGTTGTCTCATCCCACAGGCAGCACCCTGGTCTCCCAGTGCGTGGGCAGGCATTACCACATGGGAGCAGCTCAGGAGCCTGGAGCAAGGACTGATTCTGCCCATCAGAGGTGGTTAGCAACACGCAGGAGAGGAAAATTATTTTCTAGAATGTTTTTCCAGTAGTCTGGGTCTTTTTAGAACGTCGTGATTTCTCAGAGTTCTTCAAGGTGGTGCAGGCAAATATATTTCATAGGGCTATTTTTTTTATCTTCCCAACAGACTCCTGAGAGAATTTCCAAGAGTTTTAGCTAAGACACAGGCTGCTTTAAAGATATTTTTTTTTTTAAATTCCTCATGTGTTTTGATTGCTTTTTTTTTGTTTTCCAACTTCCCAGTTCAGGAAGTGTCTGATTCAGCTGTTCAGCTGCAGCACCACAGAAGCTGCAGAGTCCAACGTGAACCCGACTTCAGAGAGAGTAATGCTAACCCGGGACAAGCGTGGCAGTGAGATGTCCACTGTGGCAGCACGTAGCACTGTTTCTAAGAGGAAAGCCGGAGATGAACACAGAAATTGCCAATCCTTTGCTCAGTTAGCAGCATCAGAAAACAAAATCTGTCCCATGTAGGGTGGGAGATATGGTCATTAATGCAGTGTTACAGCTTATTTCCTTGTTACCATCACTTAATACAAAAAGCGTTGTCAGTAGGGGCATCGTGTTCCTGGAGACACCAGCGTTTGAGATTCCGGGCTTCTGAGTGCAGGTGAGAGTGCCTGGGCTCTGCAGTTGCCGTCAAACATCCTGCCATAAGGTGAGTCCCTTCCTTTTCCCAATCCACAGCCTGCTTGCTCCTAAAAAAAAACGTCAGGGGAGCCCAGCGTTGTGATGCTGGTGTGTAACACAGTAAGGATGGGAATCTCATGCTGCTGATGGCTCCGTGGTCAGCGGGACAAAACCATCAAGTGGCACTGGCCTCAATATGCTGATGGACAAGGAAACAATCTAGAGCATGCAGCTGACTCTGTTTCAGCCCATAGAGGTCCAGGGAGGAACAGGTCTGGGGGCTTTTTTTGGTGTTTGAGTATTTTTTACTAAAAAAGCAGAGAAAGCCAGAGGCTTAGGTCTGTCCTTTGTGAGAACCTCGCCTGGGCCACTGAAATCTCCAGCAGCTTGGACAGGCCATCCGGAGTCCCACACGCTGTTTTATTAAAACAAGCCTTGTGAAAAGCTATTTAGATCCCCTCTCTGCACACCCTCTTTGTCAAGGGAATCCTTGCTTATGGCAACTTGTGAAGTAAATTAATTTGGACTAGATGACAGTTGCAGGTCCCTTCCAATTAACCATTCTATTAACTTCAGGAGTGAGTAGGGTGTAGGAAGAAACTATGTGGAGTGTCAGAGAAAGTGCCAGCAGTGCAGCTTGGGGTTACCTGCAGCGCTAAGATTGATCATGTTCTTCAGACCATGGAGCCCCAGGTGACAACCACTGTTTCCGTTTCTTAACAACTACAGTTTTCAGAAACCAGTAGTTAAGGAGTACAAATGTTAGGTATGTGCTGAGCCACAGTACATTGGAGTGTGTTTGATGTCTGTATTTCTGCCTGCACCTTTTAACTTTTCTCACTGCTGAGCTAGCTATGCCCCTCCAGAAAGCACAACCCACATCCTAGCCCAGCCGGCACCCTGCAGCAGCGGCACCACCGTCCCCCTCCTCGAGCGGCTGTGTCTCTGCCCCTCCAGCCCCTCTATTTCTGCTTCTACCTGTCACACCCTCACTTCTTTTAACTGAGCTACTGATCCTGGCGTAAATCGTTACCTTCTTATTACGCCTTTGACATCAGAAGCAAGGAGTGCAACAAACTTGTGTGTCGAGTGGAAAGGAACAGAAAAGCCCAGCTTTCCGCGGCTGTATTCCACCTCCTGTGTGCAGAGCACAGGACAGCGTGCAGCAGCACACGTAGCTTTAGGGAATGTCTCTTAGGCACATGCAAAACCAAACTGGGCCATGAGTGTAATGCCTTGGGAGTGTAACAGACGCCTGTCTAGAACAGCCTTTGCTGAACATCATAGGAAATGTTGCTAAGGCCTGGCATACCAGGCTCTGAGTCCTGTACAAGCTCTGTGCTCAGTTGAATGCATTTTAGAACAGGCAATGGCTGACGACACTGAAACGCTTCAGTGTGGAAACCCATGATTTCTCGAGGAGACGTTACCACTGTGCCTGTCGAAAGGGATGTTGCCCTGCAGTGGTACAGGGAAGCCACGGGCTGCACAGGTCTCAGCCGCAGAAGTGTGATACGGGATGAATAATCCGGTGTTCAGCTTTCCTTCAAAAAACTACCTTTCTTTACACAGAATAAAGACATTCTGTTTCTACCAGGTTTTCCTTCTTACCTTATTTTGTTAAGTTACAGTCTGAAAAACTATTTCAATGCCAGGCTGCCCACACTGTCTGCAGTCAGACCTGGTCCCAGAGCAGAACCTCATGGGGTGGAAAGTCAGGAGCCGCTCCTGCAGCACATGGGGATGTTGGTGGATCAGGGAAAGGTGAGACCGTACACAACGAACCCTGACACCCTGGTACCTTGCAAAGGCTGCCTCCTGCACAGCTCCCATGCTCGAGGAGAGCAGGGAGGTCGCAGGGGGGGGCAGGCATGGGCAGCCCTGCAGCCGTGCTAGCCCTGGCCTAGGCGTGCTCCCCAAGACTGCCCAGCCACCTGCTCCTGCTGTGCCCCCCCAGTGTTCACCCTAATGGACATCTGGCCCCCAGTTCTCTGTGCAGCCCTGGCTTTCCCATGCATTTTGCTTTAGCACCGTGAAGGCAGTAGAACACCGGAGCAGCAGTGACAGCGACGTGGGAGAAAGCAGGAGCTCCTAATGCCTCCTCCCTGCCACCAGTCACCTTGTGGGGATGTGGTTGGGGGGTGCCTCTGCCTGCAACCCTCACTTCTGAGGGCAAAGGGGAACCAAGCTTCCCCTCAACGCTCCCAGTGGCCAGTTTCTTTGGCCCTGCTCTTTCTCCTCTACCCAACTTCCCATTGCTGCATAGGACAGATGGCAGTGCGAAGGACCCCATCATGCTCTTTGTTCTGCATCTTACAAAAGCATGAGGGCAGCGCTTTGGCCCTTTTCTACACCACTTGAGCTTTGCAGAGGAAGAGACGTGAGGAGGTGACTATGGCTGACCATGCGAGGGCTGAGGGGCTGGCTCCTGCCTGGAGACAGGGCACGATGGTGCGAGGGCAGTTCCGATGTGAACCTGAGCCACCGGAGCGGATGTGGAAAGGACAGAACAGGTACCTGTGCCATTGTTCCAGAAGAGACCTGCAGCTCTGTGAGTTTTCCTTGCCCAGCGATAGCTGCTGCTGTGCCAGACACTGTGAGGCATGACCATGGTCTCTGGTGAGAGGTAAGGCCAGGACGAAGGCACTGCTCAGGTAACGCCGAGGGGCATCAGGGGCTCCTTTCTTTAGGCAGCCTGGTTAACTCCTCCACCCCACCGCCTTGGTGCAAGCCAGCAGGTGCTGCAGGACCCTCATGTTGCTGGAATACCTGCTTACTTCCCACAAAGGGTAGCCAGGACCCTGCCATCCGAGCCTTGTCACGCTTTACTCTGATGGTGTCAAGCTGAGCAGCTCTTTGACGATTCCCTTTGCTATGTCTTGCAACTGAATTTCTCTAGCAAAGTCATTCGTAACGTTTAAAAATCAAAAAAAGCAAATTCCGTACACTGTGGTCTTCCTTCTAACTCATCCTGGACTCAAAATTAATCTGAATTTTATCCTTCTTATATTTGCCGAGTAGAAGGATTGTTCAGATTCCAATGCCCTGATTTTGTTTTAGAATCCAGAGAGAGGAGTTATTCTACAAGTAACGCCGTGAACTGCACATGTGAGAACGCACTGAAGACACCTACGGTCTCCGTATTCATCTCCCAGCGTTTCATGAGGTGATCATCTTCTACAGCGTAACTTTGGTCTCGGTGGGCTTGACCTGCCACAGTGCTCAATCTTCAAACCAAACTGTGAACCTCATTCTGACAGCCACAGCCCTTCATGATTCATATCCTTCGCCACTAATCCTGTGGGATCTCGAGCCAAAGAGTGAATTAAGGTATGTACTTCTTTTCAGTGTTTTGGAAATCTTGTGAGACAGGAGGGGTAAGGTACGCGGTTCTTATCTGTATGCACGTGTTTGTGCTCGTTAGTCTGTTAAAACTGTGAGGTCTGATTGGAAAGCAAGAATTCTTGCATTTATGACTCTGATTTTCTCTTTCAAGGATACGTTGACCCAGGTTAATCACATGTTAATGGTATTGGAGGTATTAAATCATGGAGAATTGGCAGAAGTGTTGGTATTTAATTAAAAGCAACAGAATTATTTTATCTCCTGAGAAGGTGAGGATACATAGAGTATAGCTCTCTAGTAGCACAAAGAGCATCACAACTTCAGTAATGGCAAAGAAAAATACAGTATAAAAATGCATGGAAAACCTTAGAAAATAGCAAGTGAAAGTGAGATTTGCCACTTGACAAGTGGCTCTGCCACCCTCAGTCCCCGTCCCTCATGAAGTGGTTCTGGTCGGCCTTCAGACTAGTGCACCACCAAAACCTGGTTTGCATCTCTAAACTGAGGCACCAGATGGAAAGCTCTCCAAGGACAGTGTCTGCGGCTGACAGAGATGGACACCCCCACGACCCCCGAGGCAGCGCCAGGTTGGCTGTAGGTGACGCTGCCCCTGTGCGTGGCGGGGGACAGCGTGACACCGGCTGTGCATGCACACTCAGCATCGCACGGACGCTGTTCCCAGAGCTCTGGGCACTGCAGCCCCGGGGCAGACAAATACTCAGCTGCTTTGATGAGGAAAGGGCACAGCAGGAACAAACCCGGAATCCTCGGGATGAGGAGTACACTGGGAAGTCTCGACATCAACCCCTGCTTCGAGAAGACGCTTTGAGAGAACCTGCAGGGACGGACTGTTAGAAAGGGATTAATTTAGAATTTGCTTAGAAGATGATAGGAAAACATGCCCCCCTTTTCCTGTCCATTATTAGAGGCTTCAAACGATTGCTGTTCTCTGGCTGACACCAAAGAGCTGGCAGTACTCTTCCCAGAGAGAAGCCCTTGTCAAGGTGTTTGTTTTTAACTCAAAAGGGAACTTTAACCCCTTTCTTACTGTTTGCACTCACCGTGCCGTTCCACAGCTCATTAATCAAAGGTGTGATAGTAGTGGTTAGACATTGAGAAGATAAAAAGTGTTTACAGACTTCCCAGAACTTGGATGTAGAGGAGCATTGTTCAGATCCAAAATGGCACTGAAGACTGATGGATAATTACAAAAAAGCAAGTAAAATATGTGTTAACGAGGGTGACGCCCTCAGTGACAACAAATGAGGGCAGTGAGGACACAATTATGGAGCCTCCTGCTTGTGAAGGCAGGAAACTTCAACAGGTACTGCAACAGCTATTCTGGCCACCAAGGAGGTACGACTGGAGTGAAACAGAGGGCTCGGTTACAGGGGTTGGGGCAACGTCGTCGTAGCGGCCAGAGAAGAAGAGATTAGAAATAATAATAATGTCACACGTAGCCAGAATATTCGTGCCAAAGTGGAACAAACGTGGTTCCC